GCCATGTTTTGTTCTGTAGATACCCATGCATTAATGTAAACTTCCTATATTACAGTATAGCAGTTCTTGGGTTTTTTTTTTTTTGCCATTCTGTTTGCAAATGTAAAATCAGTTCATTCTAAACTTTCATAATGATTAAAACTGAGCACAGTAACCTATTATGCATAACTGAATATTTAACCTGTGTATACATGACTTAGACATGAGTATTTACCTAAGATCATTTAATACCTGAAGAAATGATTTATCTGCTGACTTAGGACATGCCTCAGGACAGTATTTATAGAAAGACATTGCTTGATACTTAACATTTATCACTCTGCAAGCAGAGAGGGAACTCATTTGACTTTAGTTGCCTATTGCACTTAAAAAAAACTTACCTTTAGTTCTTTGGAGGATTTAGAGTTTGTCCCCTCACCCAACTATTCTTCCCTTTTCCTGCCAGCAGTAACAAAGAGAACACACATACACACAAACATACCATTGCTAATGAAAGGCAAACGGAGAACCTCTGGACCATTAATAATTAGAAGTTCATTCCAGAGATGCTGGAGTATTTTTCTATAATCAAGGTATAATATGTGATTTCTTTTTCTCCATTGATAGGATATTTTTTCCAGGACCCTGTATCAGTAATAGTCTCTGGTGAAAATCTTTGTCACGACAGTAGAGAGCAGCTCATTTTAGTTTTTAGTTCCAGAGGGTAAGAGTAAGAGTGAGTCATCTGTTGCAGAGATCCATTTCACGGTCTCTGGAAATAATAGGAAGTTGACCATCTTATAGAGACAGACTATCTACTTAGCTCACTACTGTCTACATTAGTAACTAAATTTGTGTATGTTATACTAATCCATAATTTATTTTAAGTACAAAATGGTTTGTTGAAGCCATAGTAACTGATTCACACATATTGCATAGCTGAGGTTTACAAATAAAAATGGTTGAGTTCATACATCAGATTAAGCCAACATTAAATGAACTAATTCAAAGAAGCATTGCTGTTATATATTATATTTGGAATCTGAAGAAAATATTAAGAACATTCAGGAATAGGAGGGGGATGAGCCCATGAATTATTAGACTGCCATGGTGGGAAGGGTATGAGGTATTTTTATGTTGTTGTTTTAGCAATAGCACTTAGACTTATATACTGTTTCACGGTCCCTTACAGCCCTCTCTAAGTGGTTTACAGAGTCGCCTATTGCCCCCAACAGTCTGGGTCTTCATTTACTGATCTCAGAAGGATGGAAGGCTGAGTCAACCTTGAGCTGGTCAGGATCAAACTGCTAGCAGTCGGCAGAATTAGCCTACAATACTGCATTCTGACCTCTGTGCCACTACCGCTCATATTTTTTTTTTTATTTTATTGTTAGCTGTCTAGGATTATTATATAAGGTAGGCAGCCTTGTAAGTCGTTTAGATAGATAAGTTAAAAGTATTTGTTTATAAGATGACATATTTCCAAAATCAAACAAAAAAATCTACAAAGCTATAACCCTCCTCCCCATACAATCATGGCTTTTTTTCTCTGAAGAATGCCCCAGGCGTTTCTGAGTCAGACATATTCTTAGAAATAAAATTGTACTTAAGGTTGATACTTTGTCTTGTATAAATCTCAAGCATAATCTTTTTAAAAAAAAATTACTGGTGAGAAAAACTGGATTTAATTTAATCCCAATGAAATGATGAGAAAGAATATAGCAGTTTATTTCAGCAGGAAGACAGGGCACAGAGGAATTATACTTTACGGGTTTCTTCAGATGTCTTTGGGGATCCCCTATAAGCCACTGCAATGCCATATTGACGTTGGAGAAGCAGAGTAGATCTCCTTCATAGGAGCTTCTATTACACATAATTTTGCACTGGGAAATAACCTATTGCCTAGACCAGTGGTTCTTAACCTGGGCGATATCGCCCCCCAGGGGGCGATTTTGTTTTTCAGGGGGGCGATAGAATGAAAAGGGGCGACGTGGGGGCAAAGGAACGAAAAGGGGGTGATATGGGGGCGATGGAGCAAGAAGTTTTGGGGACATTTTTGAGCCAGCCCCTGCGGCTCCAAGCCTCTTCCGCCATTTGGAGAGAGAAATGCACTTGTGCTTCTTTCTCTCTCTCTCTCTCTCTCTCTCTCTCTCTCTCGGATTGGTCCCCTCACAGGGCTCCTGGTTGGCCCTGCGCCCGGGTGCCCCGCCTCTTGGGACTATGCACAGCCAGGAAATCCATTTCCCTGGGTGGCCCTGTCCCAGGTGCACATGGCCGGGGAACCGTGCAGGGGATCTCCGGGATCCTCACTGGGAGCAGCCCACCAGAGCTTCAGCCTAGCGGGCCAGCCTTCCTGCAAGCCGCGGCCCTGAGGGAGAGCTGCCCCTACGATCCCCAGCCATGGGACTGTTGGCCCAGCTGGCCAGGAAGGCTTGCCGGAGTCCTGGCTACTTTGAGAGGTGAGTAGAAGATGGGGGGGGGAGAGAAAGGGAGGGGGAGGCATTTTCCAACCAGACCCATGGAAGCGCCTCCTCCTGAGGTCCAGCGCCGGCTTCCTTGCTCTCCTCCTCCCCTTCTTCCTCCTGTTGCCCCCTGGGCAGCAGTCCTGGCTGGGGTGGCGGCCGTGGGGGCATCACTCCCTGGGCGACGCTGGAGGGTCGCAGATGGCCGGGAGCATCGTGCATTGCGGAGCGGCCCTAGCTCCTCCAGCAGCTGATGGGGGTGTTCTGCAGGTGCCCTGCGAGTTAAGCCCGGGGACATTTGCGGCGCAAGGGGAGGCTTGGTGATGCAGCCGACGGGCGGGGCATTCCGCAGATGCCCCGTGGCTCCGACTTGAGCTCAGGGATGCCAGCAGCACGTGGGATGGCCTGCCAACGTGACCGTGAGCCGGGGCATCCCTACAGGCCCGGCGGGCAGCGAAGCTGGTGCCTCCAGCAGCGACAGGGTCTTCTGCTGCCTCCTGCCCCCCCTGCCCCTTCGGTGCCCTCTGCCTTTCATTTTCTCTCTCTCTCTCTTCATCTGAAAAAAGAAGGGGGAGGAAAGAGAAAGAGAGAGGGAGAGGGGAAAGAGAAAGAGAGAGAGAGAGGAAGTGCAAGTGCTTCTCTCTCCCCCCTCCTCACCTGGAGAAAGAAGGGAGGGAGGGAGGGAGAAGAAAGAGAGAAAGAGAGAGGGAGATGGGAAAGAGAAAGAGAGAAAGAGAGAGCAAGCGCAAGTGCCTCTCTCTCCCCCCCTCTCCTCACCTGGAGAAAGAAGGGGGAGGGTGGGAGAGGAAAGAGAGAAAGAGGGAGAAGGGAAAGAGAAAAAGAGAGAGAGAAAGAGAGGAAAGAGAGAGGAAGTGCAAGTGCCTCTCTCTCTCCCCCTCGTTCTCTCCTCACCTGGAGAAAGAAGGGGGGAGGGAGGGAGAGGAAAGAGAGAGCGAGTAAGCCCAAGTGCTTCTCTCTGTTCCCCTCTCTCTCTCCTCACCTGGAGGAAGAAGGGGGAGGGAGGGAGAGGAAAGAGAGAAAGAGAGAGGGAGAGGGGAAAGAGAAAAAGAGAGAGAGAAAGAGAGGAAGTGCAAGTGCCTCTCTCTCTCCCACTCTCTCTCCTTACCTGGAGAAAGAAGGGGGGAGGCAGGGAGAGGAAAGAGAGAGGGAGAGGGGAAAGAGAAAAAGAGAGAGGAAAGAGAGAGAGAGGAAGGGCAAGTGCCTCTCTCTACCCCCTCTCTCTCCTCACCTGGAGAAAGAAGGGGGGAGGCAGGGCGAGGAAAGAGAGAAAGAGAGAGGGAGAGGGGAAAGAGAAAGAAAGAGAAAGAGAAAAAGAGAGAAGAAGCGCAAGTGCCTCTCTCTCCCCCCCTCTCTCCTCACCTGGAGAAAGAAGGGGGGAGGGAGGGAGGGAGAGGAAAGAGAGGGAGAGGGGAAAGAGAAAAAGAGAAAGAAAGAGAGAGGAAAGAGAGAGGAAGTGCAAGTGCCTCTCTCCCCCCCCCCCTCTCTCTCTCTCTCTCTCTCTCACACACACACACACACACACACACACACACACACACGCTGAGTGGGGGAAGAGGACTGGCAGACCAAGGGCAGAAAGAGGGAGGGAGGAAGAGAGAGAGAGAGAGAGAGAGAGACCCTTTTGACATCTAAAATGAAGATAACACCGAAGATATATATATAAAACAAAGGTAAAAAGAATATATGCAGTATTATCTTCATTTTAGTTGTCAAAAGGGTTTTGCAGCTCCCAGTGTTTTGTTTTCGGTGGGAAATGGGTCCAAGTGGCTCTTTGAGTATTTTGGGTTGCTTACCCCTGCTCTACCCATACAATGGCGCGCCATTGGCCAGAATGGGCAGTGATGGAGGGGGGAGTGCTTCTTTCGAAACATCGCATGCTGTTTTGTGTGTCTCTTTGTACTGTATTTTTTTAGCGTGCACTCCAGTTCGATATTATATTTTCTTTGTGTCTTTTTAATCCTTTTTACAGTGTGCGTGACTATATATACTTTCCTCAAATCTTAATTTAATATTTAATATTAAATATTTAATATTTCTTTTTGCATCTTAAATTTCACTTGTAATTCAATCATTAAATGTTATTGTTTTTCTTTTCGGGCATTTCACTTTCTTGCAATTGAATTTTGTTTACAATGGTCATTACATTTAGGGTCTTGAGTAAATAAGATAATAATGAAATGCATGTATCACAAAGTTTGGGAATAAAGTGACGGGTGGCACCAAAATTTTTCACACAGTTGAGATATGGGAAAAAGACAGGAAATAAATTATTTGCATCATATGTCCTGATGACAATTTTAAAGAAAACAAAAAAAGTGTTTGCATAAATTGAAGAATTATTTCCTATGTTGTGATTGAGAGGTTATGTTGGGGGAGGGGGGCGATGACAACTTCCTCATTGGCTCAAGGGGGCGATTCGTTCAAAAAGGTTAAGAACCACTGGCCTAGACCAGTATTTCTCAACATTGGCAACTTTAAGATGGGTGGGTGAGGAGGAATTTTTCTGTATTTCTGATCTAATCTTCTAATAATTTCTAGGTCTGCCTTCTTCATTGATTCCAGCTTGCTTAGAAGCAGTAATGGCAACAGAATGCATTAAGAATTGTTGTAGAGGATGTTTATATACTAATAAAGAAAAGCATGATGGTAAGTTTAGCTAATGTAAATATCTTAATTTTTTAATGGTGACATGACAAAACTAGTAGCCATTGCCTCACTTTCACTTGCACTCTAACTATTGTGCAGGTAGTTCTCGATGTATGACCACAGTTGAGCCCAACATTTCTGTTACTAAGCAAGACAGTTGATAAGTGAATTTTGCCCCATTTTACAGCCTTTCTTGGCACAATTGTTAAATGAATCACTGCAGTTGTTAAGTTAGTAAGATGGTTGTTAAGTGAATCTGGCTTCTCCGTTGACTTTGCTTGTCAGAAGGTAACAAAAGATAATTACATGACTCCGGGACACTGCAACCGTCATAAATATGAGCCAGTTGCCAAGCATCTGAATTTTGATCATATAACCATGGGGATGCAGCAAAGATAGTAAGTGTGAAAAATAGTCATAACTCACCTTTTTCAGTGCTGTTGTAACTTTGAACAGTCGCTAAATGTACCTCTTTCCAATTTGATGGGCAGCATTTTTGAATCAGTTATTCAGCTCCTAGGTAGCCATACTATCTAGCCCACACTTGCTAGCTAGCTAGTTTGCTAACCAGAATGTCATATGAAATGGTTTGCCAAAATCCAAATATTTTACAGCTGCTTAAAGAGGCATGAAATAGGCCATACTCCAGTCAACTGGCACTTTACCCTTTTTCCAGTATACATATATACTGTAATGATTAGAATTAAGTTTTGTCTGCATTTATAATTTTAAGTAAATTGCTAATTTACAGATTCCGTGACCTTCTCTTAACTAACATTGACAAATAACTGAAATCATCAGTTATAATATTTTGGAATCATTGAAAACCTTCTCAATATTTATATATTGACCATTAAACTACTCCGTATCTCAATCAATATGTTGGAAATGTGACCCTTTTAAAATACAAAAGGTCATGAATTGAGTACTGATGTGTTTGCTTCTTTTTGTGTTTTATCACAGCTTCCCTGGAGAAACAGTCTGCAGTTGCTGACCAATATAGATCAAAAGTAGTGGAGAAACCTCCTTTGTCTTCTGTATCCATGAAAAGGCAGGTTGGCTGTTCAGAAGATTATCTTCTCTCTAAGTTCCCACCAGGTGGCAAAGAAATACCCTTTGTAGTTCCTCAGTTCAAACTTGCTTACATCCAACCTCGGAATCTTGGTAATCCACATCTTGGGGGACTTCAAGGTAAAAAGATGAAACAGTGTAAAATTAATGTTTCTTTTTGACAGGTTGCCTTTAGATGCATTGGAAACTTGCTTATGCAATTGACTACCACTTCAAATTGCTAATTAAGACTCAAGATCAAACTGTATGGATACATGTAGCAAAAAGTGAACATTTGCAAAACTAGGTAGACAGCTTCCTCCGGTTCTCACCAGTCCTCTCTACACAAACAACATTGAAATAGAAGCAGACCACTGATACTCTTTAGCTTTAATGAATAAAGTAAAAACACAGCTTTTCCCCATAGGCTTTGTTTTATTTTATTTGATGTTTTTATTTGTGGCTGACTCTTTTGGATTGTTAGCTATTTTTGACTGTGGTTTAGTAAAAAGTAAGACCAAAAAATAATATATACTATACTGTATTGTAAAGGTTGATTTGTTTCCAAATTCTACAATGGATTGTAGGTTATTAAAATATGTACAGTATTCTTACTGGTTCGGATTATTCTGTGACTTCAGAGAAGTCTGTCCTATCCACCACTTGTTAACCTAAAATGCATTTCATTCATCATGTGCAAGAAGAAAACTCCTGTTTTCTACTGAGATTGGTTTTAGTCTTTTTATTATTTAAACATAGAGATCAAACTTTTTAAAAACTGCTGTTTTTTTCAGATGATAGTTTTTATTCCAGCTCCATGACTTAATCTGGATTGGACAATAGAGCAAAGGTCTTGTTTCAGCCAGATATAGTTCCCTTCTCATGACAATATGCTCTTTTGTTTGTACTTCTGAACTTGCTAGCCTTACTTGTCCCTAGAGTCTGTTGAATGAAAGAACAGTATCTTATTGTGAAATGTATGCACCTCAAGGACTCTCAGCAGAGAGTTGTGCAAGCCACAAGTTTAGAGCACAGTGTATTTCTGGCCTTACAATAACAAAAAGTCAAATGTTTTGCGTTACTGGAAATTGTGTTACTGGAAATCTTAAATATTTAAGCTATTCTTAAACATAGTTTAAACCACATAACAATTCTAGAATAAAAGGTTTGCACACTGAATCTGCCCTTGTGGTTTCAAACTTGGCATTTTTAAGACGTGAAGTCCCAACTCCCAGAATTGCCCAGCTAGCCATATGATATAGAGAGGATACTTGCAATTCCTTCTTTTTTTGAAATGCTCAATTCTAAGCATTGTTACCATAATGATAAATTTGATCATGAAAGTGAATTGGGATGATTCTTGTAACCCCTTTGCCTCTTTATTGATGAGAAGAGAAATGAGAACAATGCTGAGTAATTTCTAACCATCTAAGATAAACCTTGTTCTAAAGTTAGCTTCTATATATTAAGTTGTTTAAGTGATTAAATATAATTTCCACTGGGTATGAAACAAGATACCAAGGATGAATATGATTGCCTGCAAACTGAAGAGCAAAGCAACTTACAAGTGTGCTTATTTATTTATGCTATTTAAAAGCTAACTAACACCACAAAACTCATTTACATTACATTAGCTAATCTATGATTGGATCTGCAAACTCTATCTTGGAAATTTAGAAGTAAAAGCAGCTTTATAACTTAGAAAACACATTAGAGGAAAGATGTATGGCAACCAGAACACTCACTTGCTTCTTTCCCTCATTTAATTGCTGTTAGTTTTTTCGGTGTACAAGGTTTGCCTTATGAAAAGATCCTGCTCGCCCTTCACCCAGATATTTCCTTCTTTCCTTCAAACAATTTTTATTGATTTTTCCCTTTTTACACCAGAACGCTTATGAAACAATGTGGAGATAGGGTAATCCGTTAGGTACAATAACATCATACATATATAGCTCAAATAATGCTCCTTGAAATTTCCCTCTCTAACAATTAGAATAGTATAGTCAAACTGATACATTTCTAGGTAAAATTAATTCATTAATACATTCCTAAATAAGAATTCAATTAATCAATAGAAATTATCAGCAACCTTTCATCGATATAAATCAAACCCTGTTTTTAGGTTTATTAATTTCCAAATACCATATCTAACTTAGCCTTAAATAAAAATATTATTTACAATTCGGGTGTCCATAATTTCTCTTATTTAAGCATATTATTTCCATAACTACATTCTTACATTTCTCAACTATATTCTATGTCTTATTCATTTATTAATTTCATCTCTTCCATCATTACAATCTTTTTATCATTATAGCTCCACAAATTAGCTATCATATTTAATAATAAAAAAGCATAGGAAAAATAGGGAAAAAAATAATAGAAAGAAACAAAAAAAACCAAGAAAAAGAAAGAGAAAAGAAGGAAGATCTATTATTACAAAAATATATTCTTACTATATTTCAATATTAAATTCTAAATCTTATCCTAAAAACACCTTTTAAAAATCCAAATCAATCCATATCTCTATAAAGCCATTGCAACCCATAAATGTAATCTTAAATTCCATATTTATATCTTATTCTAGCTTTCTTTCTGTTCCAAACAGGTTTCCATAGTAAGGCCTCTAAGTCCACAAATAAAACTCCCTCCATTTCTTGCCATAGCGCATAAGTCGGGGAGAATCTTCCATTGTCCATTTTAATAGGCTAGTGAAAAAGTTGTAGCAATTCTCAATAGCTCGTGGTTGAACATCCATCTTCATCTTTTTTGAAGTTGCATCTAGTTTAATTACAGTCATTTTTGAATCACCCAAAGTCTCAATAGATTGTCTATAAAATAATGTAAAGTCTTCTTTAATATTATTTTGCTCTCCTCCTATTGGTATTTTATCTGTCAGGTAATCAGTTAGAGTCTGGAGATCAGCCTGCCATTCTGGGGTAGCATCCTTAGTTTCCGTGCTAAAAGTCATTTGTTCATTAGCATTAGCATCAAAAAAAATTTCCGGTGTAGGCTGGTAGTCCTGCTATAAGTTTAATTCCTTCATCTCAGTAAATTGTGGATAAGATTGAAGACGGGTCTCTTGAGTATACACCCTTCTGCTGTTTCTTGGCTTACTAGTGCTCACTTATACCTTGTGCTTTAATTTGTTATTGAAAAATAATCTCTTTTGTGTAGGCAATTATTTGTTCAGTATTTTCAAGAATTTTGTCCAATATATAGTTGTAATTGAAATCTGGACAGAGTTCCTCCAGTTCAGTAGTATATAAAGCCATTATTCTTTTGGTGGAGGCTGTATTTAATAACAATCAGTCAATATCCGCTTCTACCCAGCTATACAGCTTCTTTATCTTTCCCTTTTGAGATAACTTGAAGGTCAAAGTCAGACTCAGAGTCCAAAGAAAGGGAATAACAATTGCAGTAAATAATTTCACCACAAGATGTCTCCCGAGGGTTAACCAGTTGTTCAGTCTTTCCAGACCCTCAATAAAAATAATTTCTTTCCTCTTTTCCTTTTTTCCTTCTTTTCTTTAGTTATAAAAATAGTAGAAAATAAAAAAATCCTCCAAATTGCTAGCATATTAAGTTGTAACAAGGATTTTAGGACTCCCAAATATTCAAAAATAAAATCAACCATTGAAAAAGTTAAAATTAATTTTTCTTTTGTTCCAAGGCTTTTCTTCCCCCATCAACAAAGCTACTTTAAAAAGATAAGGAAATGATTCCAAAGGCTTTTCACAGGAATAAATAGGAAAGGGAGAGGCAAGGAAAGGTCTCACCGAAACTTCCACGGTAGTTCTATTTCGCTTAGATGTTCTTGTGGCTTATGGCTGGTGCAGCTAAGTGATCGGCCATTTTACTGACCGATCTTTACTCCGTCGGCCCAAAGGAGCTCGCTTGGACAGCAGAGGGTGCCGCCGCCCCTCTGCTGTCAAACAGGCAGCCTCCTCAACGGTGGTCGCCCCTCCAGGGCGACTTTCGACCCAATCAAGGGTCTACCGGTGGGGGAAACTCAGCCAGCAAAGAGACGAGTCTGTCTGCATGACCGCAGTGCTGCGACCCGGAACCGGAAGCCTGATATTTCCTTCTTTCCAAAGTCAGTATTGGCCTTCTGCTTGAATAAAATCACTACATTTTTTCCTCACCATCTTGGCCATCTTTGGAAACAATACTTTTTTTTTTGAGGTGAGGGAGGTATATCTCCAACAGTGACTTGTTACTTGGACAATTTGGTATCATTTCATTGGGACCAATGCTTCCTGGCTTTTCAGTTTTAAAAGGTATGATCTTCCCTTCGACATTTCTGCAAAAGGATAATGACTGCCATAAAGTTTTGCTGTAGAGTGGCCCAACAGCCATATCCATTTGATTTGCCTAATAATATACATATATCATATCATACTTTTCAGGTTCAGTTGTAACGTCTTTCAGTGATCGGAAAGCAGAACTTTCTGGTATATACCATCAAAGACCTCCTGCTGATGTGGTATATAACCCATTCTATATGCAACTGCCACATCTTTCTCCGGATTTCAGTCGAGACCACACAGAAAAAATAGCGAAGAGGAGATTATATGGATCAGGTAAAAGAGTTCATCAGTTGTAACACCATGCATTTCCCCCACTTTAAAGAATAGAATTAGAAGACAGCAGACATGAATTCTGCCTTTTTATATTAGTTGTGAATAAAGTAAGCTTGCATTAAACTAGGAAAGTATAAATGTCCTAAAAACTATTTTCCAAAACAAGGCTAATATTATTCTACATGTCTATGTGTCTATTTCTGATTGATTTCCTAAATAGCCTTCCATTTAGGCTGCTCCTATTAGTACAGTACTGTATTTTGTTCTTTCAGGTCATTCTTGTATTTGTATTCAGTTTTTGGGCAAGATATTCAAGCTCTTTAATGCCCTAAAGCCACATACTCTAGGTGCAAAACCTTGAAAGGAAGAAGAACACGTTAATTTAAAGAGCAGCTTTACTTGAGAAGATAAATCTATGTGGTATTTATATGGACTGCATTTCTTTGAAGCAAAAGCAGAAGCTGCCGATATTGTCTAAAGAAGAAAATAGTTTAAGGATGATCATTGTTTGACCTAGACTGACCAGGTGAAGTACAGAAAAGTTCAAGCCCAATTTAATGGTTTTGCTTTAGAGGATTAATCAATAAATAGTTTTTCACAAGCATTCTGTAACATTGAAAGCCAGTTTGGTGCAGTTGTGGTATTTTAAGAATTTTGTACTGAAATAGGAACAAAATGTGCTCTGTTTTTGCTATTGGAACCAAGTTTAGATATTTTGTGTGGCATCATCTTTGATTTTTCTAACTGCTATTCATACTACTTTCTGGCCTTTAGTTGGGTTGCTTTCCTTTCAAATGTTTTCCAGCTCAGCTAGTATTGCAGCAGTCACAGTTATCTGTTGTTAGTTTAGATTAGTTGGAGTGATGTGTGAATGGAATATGGAGAGGAGAACAGCTATTAAACACAAAATTTTTGGCATAGGGAAATAAGAATTCCTGTAGGTGAGCAGCTCACTTACATTGTACTATACAAATAGATATCGTATGTCTGTTCATACTGGATATATATTTCATGTATATGTACGTATGTGCTTTTATACATGCATGCATGTACATATTAGACTGACTTACACAGATGTTGCTATTCACGCTGTACAAAGCTATTTAAATATCCATAGAACATTAACTGGGTTGATTTACTGTTTGCATGCTGTTGTATCTTTCTGATGCTGAATGTCTGAATGCAGGTAAAAATGTAGAGTCTCCATGTTGATCTGGACCACGGGTCGGCAACCCGCAGCTCCGGAGCCGCATGTGGCTCTTTGAGCTTTCTTCTGCAGCTCCCAGCCTCCTCCGCCATTTGCAGAGAGAGAGAGAGACGGAGAGAGGCACTTGCGCTTTCCTTCTCTCTCTCTCTCTCTCTCTCTCTCTCTCTCTGTGTGTGTGTGTGTGTGTGTTTGTGTGTGTTTGAGAAAAAGAGAGTGGGTCACGCTGTTCTCCAAGGAGCTGACAAGCTTATTGGGTGGGGCTCCTGCCTTGGCTGCATCTCTGCAGGAAGCAGGAAGGGCAGGAGAGAGCCAGCCCAATAAGAATGTGTGTCAGCTTGTTGGAGAACAGCCTGAAGCCAGCTTGCCAGGTGAGCAGAAGATTGGAGAGAGGGGGAGAGAGAAAGAGGGAGAGGGAGAGAAAGAGAGAGAGAGAGGGAGGGAGAGGAAAGAGAGAGGGAGAGAGAAAAGAGAGAGGAGAGGGAGAGGAGAGGGGGGAGAGGAAAGAGAGAGAAAGAGAGGGAGAGAGAAAGAGGAAAGAGAGGGAGAGGAAAGAAAGAGGGAGGGAGAGGAGAAAGAGAGAGAGAGAGAGAGAGAGAGAGAGAGAGAGAGAGAAGTCATGCACAGCAGCCTCTATTTCTTTTTAATTAAACTCTTCAATGAAGCTCTCCACCCTTTCTGCGCACATCTGCGCGCACAAGTTTTGCAGTGTTTTCTTTTCTCTGGGAAACGGGTCCAAGTGGCTCTTTGGGTGTTTAAGGTTGCAGACCCCTGGTCTGGACTGTTTTATTGCAATTTTGGGCCTATATCAACTTTTTATATGCTCTTGTGCCCTGTTAAATTTTAAAATATATTTTAAAATCCTAAGTTGAAGACTCTTGCTTTCATACCGCACTCTTTTTGTCACTTGATTCCGCTGTTTAATTTTTGCTGACTCAGTTCTGGATGGGTGTGAAGCTTTTTCAGACTTGCTTGCTGTTCATAGAACCTAGGACAGAACTTCTTGTTAGGTTGTTGACTTTTTTGCTTCTTGCCATTGCAGTTTTGTGCTGTAGTGTCATGTCGATTCATATAGGAGTTAAAGCGTGGCTCTCTTTGTCTTGTGTTACGTTCTTGGTAGGGAAAATTTAAGGGAATGCAAAGGATGTAAAGGAAAACTCTCTCTGTCATAAGATTGGGCAGTCTTTTTCTGATAAAAGATTCAACCTCTGCTTCAGTTCTTGTCTTTTTCCAGTGCTTTTTTTTTCTTTTGCTGGCAATTACTGTATGTTTCCAGTTTTGTCTCTAATAGCAGTCAGAATAGAGAGACACCTGACCTCCTCTTTTATAATAAAAGCTCTGATCTTCGGTTGCCATTGCTTGCTATGGTTAGAACATTAGAAACGAATCTGGTAGCACTTTTTCTGACTAACAGGTTGCATTAAAAGGCATAAGCTTCTGTGAGCTACAGCTCACTTTATCAAACGTGTGCTGTAGCTCATGAAAGTTCATGCAATTTAATGATATTCATTAATAGGAAAAGATGATACCAGATTCCTCCTATTATTGCCTCTATAGATTGACACAGCTCTCCTCCTGTATTGTCTAGAATATTAGAAATGTCTGGTTGTTTTCCATTGAAATGCAGTCAATTTGTAACATTTCAAGTGGTGATGTTTTGCACTGATTTCCCGTATTTTTATTTGTGATTGTTTAAATGACACAGAGTTAGACTTGTCTATTCTTAGGAAGTGATAGCAATTTCTCACTTGGTTATGAATCAAACTAAATTATGAAATGTTATAACACTTTATAGCAACCTCATCTCAACCCCGTTCTGATATAGAATTTTAAAAAAACTAAATTGATCTTGAAATTTTTAAGATGGGCTTCCTTTTCTGTTTCTTTTTTCAGTTTGTGACTTAAGAAGTAGCACATTGCCCTGTTCTTCCTCTTTAAGTCATTCTATGTTTGATCTTACAAGTCCACCCCACCGATTTCTTCAGGTAAATAAGTGTTATTTAGTGTTATTGTGATACCAAGCTTTATTAATAACTGTAAATGATTGACCACAGGTATTGACTTAAGACCACATCGGTTGCTAAATGATGTGGCCATTAAGTGACTGGATCCAATTTTATAACCACCTTTACTGCAATCATTAAGCAAATCAGTTGTTAAACAAAATTGGCTTCCCCAATTGACTTTGTTTCTCAGAAACCTGCCAGAAAGGCCACAAATCATGATTGCATAACAAAATGCTGCAACTTCGTAAATGCAAGCCAGTTGCCAAGTGCCTGAATTGCAATCACATGATTGCAAGGGTAGTGCAATGGTTTTAACTTTGAGGATGAGTCACTTTTTCTGAGTGTCATAACTGCAAATTGTTGTTAAACAATCAGTCATAAGTCATAAATTGAGGACTACCTGTAATTCCTTAATAATATATTTTGATCTCACACCTAGTTCTGTATTTCCTTATTCTTGTTTTGTTTTGTGTTAACTAATCAGACTTTTTTTTGTTTGTTGAAGAGGTATGATTCCGCCTCCAGTGCACCAAGCAGCATCTCCTCCAGAAATAATTCACAAGGTAGTAATAGGAGCTTAGGTAATAAACAGTGTTGTCTTATCTTGCTTCTGCTAGAGATTGGGTAAACTGGGTCTCATATGATGAGAGAGGTCTGTGAAGTCCAGAAATATCTGGTACAAGCATGCTAAAGATGTAGGCCAATATAGGCCCTACATTATGTTTTTATAAAATGAAAATATATTTTGACTTAGAATTCTGTTACACTTCTCTTTTTAGCTTTATTAGAAACGGAGCTTACACTGGTATCTTAATAATAGTTAAAAATGGATTTTATTGGAAGAAAAATATAGGTTGGAATAAGTTACAGTATAGCCTTAAGCCTTAACTTAAGTTGATTGAACCCAACAAAAATAAGACCTAGTTAAAATATGTTGCATGACTTCCTAGACTACAGTACTTGATATAATAAATAGAAACATGAGTTACACATTTTTTAATCCTCTGTATTAAAAGAAAGAACCCTCTCTCCCTTTAATGGAAAGCTAATATATCCAGAGTAGAGGAAGTTCATAATAGTGGTTTGCTGACCTCCTTATTCTCCACATGGAAACTTCTTTATCTCTATATATTCAAATATGTAACTACAATATGAATTGGTACAAATATGGAATGGCTGAACCATATACTCTCTTTAAAAACCAATGCTTTTTTTAGGTGGAAAGAATGATTGGAAATTCTGAATAGGGAAAAAGAGAGCCAAGAACTGGGAAAATCCACTAAAACAAAATTTGTAGGAAATAGGCAAATATTGAGTAGTAAGTGAGGGTACCATGTAGAAAATAATGGGATTAAGAGAATGAAATGAGTTTTCAAGTTGCAGCTCATGAAATCCCTGCTCCAAAGCTGATGGCAAGGAAGCAAGCATTATATTGGTATAAAGAAATATTTCTCACACTACACTGGAGTGAACTTTACTGAAAGTGTTTTTGACACAGTGCATCCTGTGTTAAGTCATCCTTGTTCAGAATTCTGGGAATTGCAGTCCTACTGCTCTGAAAAGTGGCAGGTTGGCAAAGGTTGCTGTAAACTAAAGCTTAGTATAGTACATTGTTTTGGATTCAATTGCCACTTCTTTTATGACATTGGTCCTCTGCTGTTTAGCATAAACTTTGCTTGGCAGAGTGATACCACACTGGTGAAAAGGTTAATCTCTCTGGTTCTGCCAGTGCAGGTGTATGCCAAAGAAGAAAGTTGGCAACCCACTATATTGTTTATGTAATTTTGAAAACACCTTTTATGATGCATTTAGATAGGATTACTCATAAACGCTGAAACGTTGGCAGATTTGATTTATATCAAACACATGTATTTCCTTATACATAACAACTGACATATCTTGGCAGTAGGGATAAATATTTAAGTAATGAGAACAGGTTTTTAAAAAGAAGTCTGAATTCACTGGATAAACTAATGTTTTTTCAGCCTTTGAAAACAAGTTCCAAAAGTGTTTTTGGATTTATCCCCAGATACAATTACATTATCAGGTGACGAAAGAGAATTTGGCAGGCTGAACGTGAAGGTGTGCTACATTTTTTCTGTTGAACAGATATGGATCACCATCTTGAAAGTAAGTAATCCTAAAAAGCATTCAGTTACTGGTGCTTGAATGGTTAGATTAAGGGCACTGGTGAAAAAAATCTAGTTTATATCCTAAACTCAGCTGTTAAGCAAGAACCATTGGGTTGACAAAGGTTTATTTATTGAATTTGTATAACCACCTGTCTCACCAAAAGTGATACTGGGCAGTGTACAATCATATAAAACATCAAATATAAAAACAACAGATAAAAATGTAAAAAAGTACATTAATTATCATAAAAAAACAAATATACAAATCTTGTGTGAAGGGAGGAAAAATGCCCCCTTCAACAATAGATCCATCTAAGCAAATCTTAATGGACAATGGCATTTTTTATTATATATATGAATGTCATTATTGTTTTAGCTAGGTTTTATTAGCAGTAGACGATATACCATACAAATTTTGCTGTATGAAATCCTTTTATTTGAAAATGAGAGGAATTGGATTGGGACAGATTATGTACAGAGAATATATTGTTTCATAAACCAGTGCATCTTCAGACATAACATTATTTGGAAAAAGAATAATTTGTACTTTAATCTACTTCATTTTCATTACAGTTTTTATCGTGTTAATATTTATTAACTATTCGGTATTTATGAAGATATAAGGAGACATTAGTGTAACTTATATCTTAGATAGCCAGTATTAAATCACTTTTTCAGCAATAAATATCTAATGCAATTAATTTGAATCGGCAAGGGTTGATTCTTCAGTTGCCTTGAGATTTTATAAAGTTGAAAAAGCATATTTTATAGCGAGAAGATGAATAATGTTAATCATAAATAAAGCAAACTGACATAAGGAAATTAGGCATGTAATTGTTTAATTTTCAATTTTGTAGTGCAAAGATTTGAACTGGTCATCTACTTGTGAAGAACATCCTCAAATTTCCATCAAAGGAATCCTCACCCTACACAAACCAGTGCAATTCAGATGTTTAGCAAAAGAAGCTTCCAATGTAAGTGGCACTTTAAAAAAAAATTCAAAATTGTTCCATATGTGAATATGTGAATTGATAAAACCAGAGACACGAGAGTGATTATGAAAAAGGAGGGTTTTTTTTTCAAATCTCATATTTGACTTTCACTTGCATCTAGGACATTGAATTCATGGAAACCTTTGTGTTTGCTATTAAACTGCAACTCCTCCAAACTGCAAGACTTGTGTTCAAAGTACAATCTCTGATTCCCAGAAGAAAAACTATAGGAGAATGTATTTTGCCACTGCGAGACCTCAGTTCACAGGAAGTGGATTATTGGCTGATGATAACGCCTCCTTCCAAAGCTTTAGTAAGTTAAAGTATCCTAAGGATTCTTGAAGGAGATACATGGGGTTTTATGCAGGAACAGAAATGTATAATTGTTTTTTTTTTTTTTGTCATTTCCTTTTTGTTAATATTCATTGATTCTTCCCCACTTCTGTCAGGAGCCTGCAACGCTGGGTGGGGAGGGGATGTAGTGAGAAAAGAGTCCCCTCACTTGTAGCCCTATCAGCTAAAACTTCCACATGCACTTCTCCCATTGCCAAATTGCAACCTGTTCTTTTTTATCTACCAAGGTAATGTCTGAAAAATTATAAATAGGATGCAAAGCCTGTAATTTTTTGTATGTTGCAACTTCTTCTTTCCCTTCACCTGTTATAAATTCCCCTCCACTCCAGCTATAAATTCACAATAGCTATATATCTCTAATATAATAGTAGTTTTTATTCTGAGGCTGGATCACTTAACAGGATTTGATCTGTTTTGAAAAGGACAGCCTTAATAAGTCTGTCAATTATTTTCTGGTCTGGCCTAACTTGAATGGCTAATATCTCCACAAGAAAATCAGAACTATAATTTCTTGAGATAAGCTACAATAAGAGACCTTGCAAGGCAGAGTGTTCTGTATTTTACTCTCCTTCATTTACTCCATGAATCAGGGAGGTTTTTGCCTGCTTCTGAATATTATCTTGCTTCCTAGAATTTGTAAGCCCTTTTTGCGTGGCAGGAGTTTTTGAAAATATCTATCAAGGTCATTTTCTTTACTCTCCATATTTAGGACAGATTGGCATTCCTCTGACATGGAGTTACATTAGTAATGAAAGTATTTTAATTATAAAAATTCATCACTATAGAATTTCACACAAGGAAGTAGTATTGTAGTTTCACTTATTAACATCTGCCAGAACCGGCTCTAAAGAACCAGGAAATGAATTCCATAAACCAAAGGTCATCCCAACCTCATGAAAACGTCTTTAGAAATGGAAGGCAGTTTTTAAAAAACAATTTATAATCTGGAAAAAAAGAGATCCTGCCATTTTAAAAAATGAAGAGATTCCACAGAAATCCTGAAAGAACTTTCCCCAAAATATATATAGTAGCTTTTTGGATCCCAGTCTTGATTCTGGCAAATTTGGAAGGATTAGAAATTATAATTTTATAGCATACAAAAGTAGCATTATCAGGCCATTAAACAAAAAGATAGGGCTGATGTTTCTTTGTCAAAATGAAAAGTCTGATCTTTTCACTTCACACCTGTGTAACAAAATATTTGATTTGTGAAAGTTGGCTAAGATGAAGATGGAACATTCCTTTGCTCTTTGACTCTCTGTGTAGGTGTGTTCTGCAGAATTGAAAATAGGCACCTGTTTTCAAGCAGTAAACAGCCGGATCCAGTTGCAAATTCTAGAAGCTCAGAACCTTCCAAGTTCATCCACACCATTGTCTTCAAGTAAATACTATAGTTTTATTGCTCAAACTCCATAAAGGAGAGCATGTTTAAATACATATGTGGCTGCTACTGTTCTTTTCTGATTGTAGAATGACTTTTATATAAAGTCACATATATGTCATGACTTGATCTAGGCTTCTCAGATGCATAAAGTAAAACTAAAAAGATTTCCTCTGAATCCTCCCGGTTGATCTTGCTTATTTTAAAAACTGCTTTCTTAAAGCTTATTATTTGATAGTCAAATATGTTTAGAGGTTAGAGTAGAGTTATACTATTGTGGGGATGTTGCAGTTGAGATAGCAGCAGGCTATCTGTTACACTTGTTGACTGGTATGGACAAATTTAACAGGCAAAATTGCATCATCCAGAAAGTTTTCACTAGGAAATGGACCCACTTCAGGAAGTAGGCATTAGTGGTTCAAAAAGCAAAAATCTGCACTTTAAGTAGAAAGGTGAATTCCACTGGTCTTTATAACAGCCTAATACTGGGAATCAAAGCTGCTTTCCAGTGAGCAGAGACTTGTTTCTAAGGAGTGAGCACTATGTTTCTATCCATTAAATTGCATCCACCCAGTGGCTCCCTCTCTCCCCATTTGTATATCGTATTCAAAGACTTTGCATCAGTTATAATTAACAGTAATATATTCTTTGGGATTTCAAACTTCACACAATGAAAACGGTAAAAAAAAGTCATTGCTTCTACCATAGATTTTTTTGTAAAGATTGAGATGCTCAGCACTGAAGGCTTGGTTGATAAGAAAAAAACTCGTCTGCTGAAATCTACTAACAGTCAAGTAAAATGGGGAGAAACCCTGATGTTCCCTGTGAGCCAGAATGAACATGGAATAAACTTTCTCATCAAACTCTATAGTAGGAGCTCAGTGAGAAGAAAACATTTCCTGGGACAGGTTGGTTTTTTTTTTTCCCACCTATGACACCCAATGCAAGTTTCTGAATTCTAAAACTTAAAATTTATGTGGACCATAGACTTTGCTTTTTTAAAAAAAAAACATGTTACCATTAATATAATCCTGGTTGAAATAAAACAGGAATAGGAAGCCTGCAGCCCTCTAGATTTTGCTGAATATTGTCTAGCCAGGTGACATTCAGCAATTTCTTTAAATATGGGTTTAATTTCATGGCTAGATCCTTTAAAATTTTATCTCATTATGAATAAACAATTTTGTACCATAAATAATTTCCTCTTATGCAACTTTATATCAGCGATCTCAAATTTACAATTCAGATTTGTCAGAAGATACAAATATCCATTCGATTCCATTCTATAAATTGTTAGGAAGTATAAATTTGTGAATAGCTCAGAAGCCACATCCATCCATCCATCCATCCATCCATCCATCATAAAACTATAGATATCATAAATTGAATTCAATAAAGCTAAATCTTGAAGATGTTATTTGTAGATTACGCAGATGACTCAACATGAAATAGGATATCTTACAGCCTAGAAAACAGAAATAAAATTCAAAACAATCTTAATAGGCTAGAAGAATCACTATGTAAGAGAGTATAATTTTATAAAAGACAGGTAAAGTATTATTAGAAGGCAAAGATCAAATGCTCAGAAGGTATTAAAGCAGAAATCCCAGATCATGGGATGTAAAAATTGGTCTTTCAAAATCCTAAAATCAAGATAAAAGATACCATAATCTTATTAGAATCCATTTTTAATAAAATGCATATTTGTATCTCATCTTAGCGTCCTCTCTGTTCTTGATTCATGTTCTGCATTGTATAAACATCGTTTTTATACACTGATCAAGATAAATGTCAAAAACAGTTTTTGGATTCTTTACAATGATTCTTTGTTTTTCTTATCATGCAGGTTTGGTTAAGCAGTGACAGTAACAGTGCAGAAGCTGCTGATCAATGGAGGGACACAATTGCTAATCCAGAGAAGGTTGTGGTTAAATGGCATAACATTATTCCAGTGTGATACTGCTTTGAACAGCCCTTTTGGTACTGATTTGGATTTGACTCCAGAGACTTTTGCACTTATTTAAAATGACCAGCCATCAGATAACAAAAAAACAAAAAACAGAAAAGAAATATCTATATAGACACATACAATATCATCTCTGCACAAGAGAATCACAGAGGAAGCAATAGAGTTGAAAAGGGAAGGATGTTGGAAATCCTAGCAAAGTACATGAAATTCAAAAGCCACGTTGAAAAATAATGGCTTGATTATTAATTGACTGTTTTAAAAAAACTATGAAGCGTACATATGAAACATTCAAATATTTATATTCTAAAGTAAAAATTAATTTAAAAACTTTGTATAGATTTTAGTAAAAAAAATACCACGGAAGAGCTATCCTTCAAGAAGATTGTGTTCCATGTTAGTTAGTTGACCACCATGTTCCAGCTATTGTTTTGCTTCTAAAAGTATTCTGTGGACACTTTATTATTTCTACCAATATGTTGAACAAGTGAGATAAAGCAGGCAGGAAAGTAGAACTAATACTTTACCATTTAATTCTTGAAATAATCATTTTAAGGTCAATTTTTAAGAATAGTTGTTATGTTGGATTGTAAATTTGAGAGATAGGCAGGGAAGTAACAATTTTTTTGTTAATTAATTCAGTTTCATAGTTCTGCAGCATAAAATTTGCTTTACTGTTTTGAACAGAGAGATAGATTAACAAGAAGTACTCTAATGGTGAAATTCAATAGAATTTGATCTCATCCTTAGAACTATTCCGTGTTTTAAGAAAACTGAAGTCACCAATCCTTATAAAATGAAAGAAACAAAACAAAATATGCAATCATCAGTCTAACCAATTATTTTGAGAAATAAGCACCTTCCCAACCTTCAGTATTTTAAAATAACATATAAAGTGATAAAGGCTAATAGAGCTTGTATGCCTAACTAGTCCATGGATAACTAAACTGGCACCACTTATATAGATTTATATAGAGATCTTTGGCTGTAATCAAGCAGGTGCTCTGAGTACTTTCTAGAGATAAAACATTTTTAAGGCACAAGACGTTGTAATCAAGACAATACAATGTCTTGACTACTGAGATGTTTGGCAAAAAGCTTGGTAGTAGAAATACTGGTAGGCACTGTGCAGCAGAGAAGCCATTGGGAAAAATGGATCATTAACATCTGAAAAACTTTCGTGGGGATTTGAAATGCAGCATGATTTAACTTGAATGTCTTCGTTGCCTCTTTCATTAGATTAACAGTTCACGCTGAGCTTTCAATAAATAGGATTTGGTTTGCCTCAAAGCTGTTGCCATATGAACCTGGAAGGGCACATTTAACATGTGAATCCTCATGCTGATGTAATCTCAGGCCTATTTGTCAGACAAAGCCCAAGAAGGACATGGAACAATTGAACCATAAGTGATGCCAGTTCTTTATTTGCTTTCACATAGCAGGCAGATTCTTGCCAGACTAAACCTTTATTAGTCCCAGCCTTATGAAGGCACCCTGAGATATTCTAAGGAATGGTTATCCTTACTTTCTTCCTCTGCCTCCTCTCCAGCTCTGGGGTGCGCTGCCTCTTGTCTTCCTTCTCTTTCTGGAATATGCTCCCTCCTTCCTGGGAGACTGCCACCTCACTATAGTCCATCACATCAGCCCTCACAATACCATTCCTATTTCTCATAACATCTAAAGCACATAGGATGCTTACATGCAATGATCAAAAGTAAAACCATACATAATTGTAACTTTCGTAGTAGAATTCCAGCAAATGAATATTTTTGTAGATCGTTAAACTATTCTCTGCTGTCTGCAGAGTGTTATACTATTTTAAAGTGTACTGGTTTCAAAAATGACAAGGCTCAGATCTGAATTCTGTTTCAGTCAGACTTGGCTGGTATTCATGCATGAAACAGAGAATGCCCTCAGTGCATAATGAACTATGAATCAGAAGGTATACTTATACCGTGATTAGCTGGAAGAATCCAGATTTTTATGAGGAAGGAGGACAAAAAAGGCTTGTGTAGAAAAGCTGGCAGAATGACAGCATGAAAACCAACATTCAGGAGAGAGGAAATTGAATTAAGTGAAAAAAAATGATCAAACTAAAAGCCACACTAAGAAAAGCAAATGAAAAGAATAATGGGAACATAAAACTGGAGAAGACATAGAACCACACTTACCCCCGAAACAATGAAATCTTGAATAATTCAGAAAAAAAATGTCTCTTTGTATCCTCAAATATTATAATTAGATAGCAAAACTAAGTCCTTGCTTAACCAGTCACTGAGCAACCATTTGAAGTTACAGCAGCCCCCCCCAAAGGATACTTACGATCCAATTTCACCCCTACATGATCATGTGATCTCATTTTGGATACTTGGCAACCGGCTTGCATTTACAGCCATTTGCAGTGTCCAAAGGTCATGTGATTGCAATTTTTGCCATTTTGGGATGGTTTCGAGTGTTTATTTCTGGTTTCTAGTCAAAAATCTATTGGATAAACAGGTTGACTTAATGATTGCAGCAAAAAGTAGTAAAATCAGGCATGATAATGTGGTGACCCGCTTAACCACAATGGCTTTACAACCTTTTTTGTTGTAGCCATTAAGCTGACGAGACTGTAATTCTGGGCTCAATTATTGTCGTACATTGAGGACTACTTGCATGAATTCAATGCTAACATAGTTGGATTTAAATCTGGAGGAGCAAATGAAATAGTGGTAGATATAGTAGCTAGTCTTTTGGAAGAGCATTGGTCCTCAATCTTCGCAAATAAAAAGCAAAAAGAAAATTGTGGCTTACAATGCATTCAATATAGTCACTGTATAGTTGGAAAAAAAACTGATTGTTTAGAAGTTGCATTAGAAATTTAAATCAAAATTTAAATATTCGACAGTTCTTTGGTTACAATTTTTATTTACAGCATACTTCATGTGCATCAGTTCATGGCAAAGGTGATGTTAGTGTGTCATTGTAAAAATCATTTATCTACTGTATTGCAAAGTAATTGATAGAAAAAATAACTTTTTTAAGCAAAATAATCACTGAAATTAGAACAATGAAATTATGAGCAAAGCTGCTTAACAGTCTTGGTACAGTATTTTATTTCCTCTCTTTATTCTTTTTTATAAACATTGTACATGTTGTCTAGTAGGATAAATGCAGATCTTATGAGGGCTTCATGCAATAATAACATTCTTAGGGAGCTCACATTCAAACATTGGAATATATAGAAGTTCTATTGAATTTATAGTACTGTAATACACAAATGACCAGATGTTTTATTGTATATGTATATGTTAATACATATTTTTATGAATATATTCTCTTTCTTTCTCTCTCTCTCTCTCTCTCTCTCTCTCTCTCTCTCTCTCTCTCTCTCTCTCTCTCTCTCTGTGTGTGTGTGTGTGTTGATGCCCCCTGGAGTCACCCTGTGTGAGTTGGGCAGCCATATAAATTTGTTTAATGAACAAATGAAATAAATATAATGACTGAAGCATTTGTATAAATAGATTCTAGCCTGCCTTTGCCTTCTACCTGTGGTCTGATCTGTTTAGCAAAAATCTCTAGCCAAAAATATTTAGCTTGCTTTTTCAAATGTTTCATATTAGTGCACATACAAACACACACACAGAGAGATTATTTTATTGAACAAAACACAAGCAAAGAGGGGAAAAATCTTTCTCAGAGCTTCCTGATGATGGTTTGAACCTGAGTACCTAGAATTTCACATTATGCAACATGCTGGGCCTCATGCCAAGATTTTGTTTAAGAAGGGTGTGAAATGAATTGACTAACAGGCTGGGTTATGCCAAATGCTAACAGTGATGTCACTGTTAATCTACCTCATGAATAATCCCGGATCCTGGCACAGCTGTACAGTACACTTCAAGTCTTATTATTAACCCACATGCTGTTTTTATTGACAATTAACTCCATAACCTGGGCATATTTTTAGTTAATTATTAGAAAACTAGCAGAGTATACCTTCTTGTATGAATAATTACAGCAATTCTGTAACACCTGCAATTTTTTGAGAATAACTTGCTTTCTATACCCTAGTTTTGTTGGCTGCTACCTATGGCTTCAAAACAATACCTGGCCTTAGAAATGGTCTTCCTTCTGCAGTATGCTGGACCAAGAGAACTAATACATTTTGAACCTCTTTCTCAACTCTTCTTTTTATATTGGCCTTCCCATATTACTTGTTTTTAATTTAGTTTTTAAAATTATAAAAATGCTTTAAAATAAAAAAGTTGATTAATAGAGTACTTAGTGTTGCTAAAATTAGGACCATTCTGAAAATTAAGAAGCTGAGAATTATTTCAGAAGTTTTTACATTTAACGTCATTTGCTGATTGGTCACTCATCACTATGTTATTATGAAGACTTCTGTCTATATGTGAAGCTTGTGTCTATATGTGAACTTCCCAGTTAGTTTTGCAAGATATCACCTGAATCATCTCTTCAGATGCCAATTTAGCTATGAGCAAATATGAACAATTTTATCTGCAAAGAGTCTCATAAATACAGTATGTGGTAGCAGTCAGTAAGAAGATCACCTTTTTTATTTTTACCTTCCAAATAAGAATAAACTTAAGGGTGCTTTACAGAAACATGCAGGTTCAATAAAAGTACTGTATAGACGTAATAATATTAAAGATACAGTATATTCATTTCTTTGATCACGTTCACTCTTTTATGTTACCCTCTGCTTTGATGTTTCTTCAACTGTTTTATTTCCTGGAGCTCCTTGATTTTCCAATGAGATCTGCAAATTAGGATAGGCCACTTGAGGGGGCAATTTCACCCAATGCTCTCCAGAGAAGTATAACTAGAGATGTGATAAATTTGCCTATTTGATCTCTGAGGAATTCCTCAAAAACCCAACATCTCTCAGGTGCTTGGGGTGGATCACAATAATCCGTCAGTTTTAATCCTGAAGGTTGAGTGCAGAAACAATAAGCACAAATAGAGCTGTCTCAAGTGATCTTAAGCCCAACCAAAATGTAGTTTCAAGATATGGAGATTGAAATTGTCAACACTAGAAGTTTGGAAGATTCCAATGTCAGGCCAGATATGAATTCCAAAAGCTGATGCAAGGCTGCTACCAGGCAACAACAATGCATTTGCCTTTCAACCCAAACTGCACATGCAAATAACTCACACTTGGTCACCCATGGGGCAGTACTTCTAATAGGAAGGAAGGAAGGAAGGAAGGAAGGAAGGAAGGAAGGAAGGAAGGAAGGAAGGAAGGAAATATTGTCATGCTCCCTCACTAATGATGGAGTTGTGGTTGTTCCAGATCTAAACTACAAAATATGCAGGAAAACATATTTTGAATAGGGTAATATGCACAGTCCCATTCCACCAAGTATTTGCTATGCAGGTCAAGCGACCATTCACACAAATACGGTAAATACCCTTTGGGTGGTAGCAGCAATGTCTCAAGCTATCAAGTAGGTGAGGCCATGGCTGTTTTGGTAGTAACTTTACCTACAGCACAACAGCTTTGCAACAGTAACTCAAGACCTCATCACATGTGTTAATCACATCCTCTTTATAGGGCTGCCTTTGAAAACTTCTGTATTTTATACCTATAATTGGTACAAAATACAACTGTTGACAGATGCTGACTGCCATGAGGATATTCTGTGCTCAAGGCTTGCCCTAGTTGCTGATAGGTTTCCTGGTTTTAACTTATAAAGCCATCTATGGTTTGGCATTGAGGCATCTTGAGGAGCATCTTCTTTGACTAGACTTTATCTATTTGACATGGTCGTAATGGGAAAAGAATTTGGAAGTTCTACATTTTCATGAAATGAAGAGTGAAGCTAGGAACCAATGTTTTTAAGGCACTGATATTATAGAACAACTCCATTTGGATATTGTGTTAGTTTCTATGGTGGTGAAATTTCAGAAGGCAATGGAAATCAAATTTTTATGAAGGGCCTTAGTGGAATATTATCTTGTATATAATAGTGAGATTATTCTCTGTGGATTTCTATTGTATAGTTCTCTGTCAATATAATTTGTATTGTATTGTTAATGTAAATATTGCATGAGAATACTTACGTAATGTTTACTGATTGAAATTGTGATAGATATTTCAGTGTTAGTTATTTTTTATATTTTTATTATAGATCTTTTATTATTTTACTTTCATGTTGTACTGTGGGGATTTTATTTGTTCTGTAAACTACCATGAATCCAATTGATGCAATAGGATGCATGCAAATTCAATAAATACATAAATGTATTGAAGTGTAATTTGTGGAGGAATATTTGCAACTTTGATTTGGATTTATATATTCATAATTTATATGCAGAAGTATAAACATGGTCCTCGATTGCAGCAGGAAAGATATGTGTATTTGTCCAAAATATAGCCATGGCAAGAATGAAGAAGTGAAAGAAATGTCTAAAAAGAATTGACAAAGTAATTGAGCTGATGGAAAAATCTTGGGCACAATTGTATGGTTGGGTTTTGGTGGTCTCTGCAAGTACCGATGATGTCACCTAGGCTAGAAATGAAACATCTTTAAGCAAACAGCCAAGCTCAGAGATCAACAAAAACCTAACAGTTTCAACCTGAGTTACATATACTCTCTTCTATTGGAGCAATCATGCTGATTTATCCATCCATCTCAGATGAAAGAGATTCTGGGCAGCTTATACCATTTGATAACTGATAACAATTTCTCAAAATGTCTGGTGCACAATAGCATCCAGACCATGTCTTCCATGCTGTGACTAATCTTCTGGGAGCTCATGTGTTGGATAATTTCCAGGAACAGCAGGTATATAGGTTTGATGGCATGAACCTGATGCCATTTTTCTTGCCATCTGCTAATGGAGGGAGGAAAGTTAGTTAATCAGCTCACAAACTTGGGATGAGGCTTTGAAATTTCACAGCTTCACACCCAAATCCAAACCTTGGATACCCCAGCCAAAGTGATATAATGGTTACTAAGATAATATACAGAGGGATGCCTTAATGGTAGGTCAAAAAAGTGAAATAGAAAATTCAGTGTTCTCTTATGGAGAGCTTTATAGAGTTGCATCCCTTTATGGCAGGGGTCCTCAACATTCTTGGAGTTGAAGTCCACACATCTTAAAGTTGCCAAGGTTGGAGACCCCTGCTTTATGGGACAGGCAGACCTGAACAAAGCTTATAAGCATCAAATAGTGCCAGTGGATTCTGCAATCTCCTAACTGGTTTGCTTCTGGCTGCCATAAGACCAATTAGACATATGTTTTTTCAAACTTGGCAATATTAAGATCGGTGGATCAACTCCCAGAATATTTTTATATTCTGGGAGTTGAGGTCCACGCATCTAAAATTTTCCAAGCCTGAAAAACACTGAATTAGACTGCACAAGTGGAACAAAAACCTCTGCTCTCTTCTTCAATTGCTCAAGCTCACAGAATATACAGTTGTATGGATCTTTGCCCCAGTGATAAAGCATTGAGATATTTATTAAACAAGCTGGTGAATTAAGCATTTTGTGCAAAGAAAAACTGACTGCAGCTTTATTTATTTACTTCACTAAATCCTGAGGGGGGCTATTATTAAGAAGAAATGTTGATGTTTTAGTTGTGTTCTGGCTAAAATAGCCCTTAAATAACAAGACCAAACCCAGTTTTTTGGACATAGCATAAAAATGAATACCGTATATGCCGGCGTATTAGGCGACCCAGCGTATAAGACGACCCCCGTCTTTATAGCCGGGCCGCATTCCTAGAACGTCGTCTTATACGCCGGAAACTACCAGTATTTCCGGCGTATAAGACGACCCCCATCTTTGGTGCCGATTTCAGCGCTCGCGGAAGTCGTCTTATACGCCGGCATTTACGGTATATATTTCTATGCTGACGGAGACCTAGCTAATTGAAAAGTGAACTTATAAACAAATATAAACTTGGCTTTTAGTTGGAGTTGATTACATAGGAACTCAGGAAATGTTTTTTAAATGTTCACAACTGAGCTGCATTTGCTGGTTTGATGTCCATTTCTCTAGTTAAGTGAGATCCTTTTATCGTTCTTCACTGAATGACAAAATGAGGCGATAATGAAGAATTAGTACATGACTAACTGGGTGGAGTCACTTTAACCACAAGCAATCACACTCATTTTCCATTGTTTTAGTTCAAACAAACTTTTGTCTGTTTGGAACTAGAGCAACTTCACTGGGCAACCCCCCCCCCCAGGATCAAAGTCAGTTGGGCAAGTTAAAACAATTGCATAACACATTTCTCCTCTCCCTTATGGTCCCACTTGCTATAAACAGGGAACAGGGCCAAGGATTACTCGCATCACCTTTATCTGCATGCTTTTTTTATACAGACTAGATTCACACATAATTTCCTGGCTTGGAACCAAACGCATCAGGCCCAGAACACCTAGCATTTTGTCACTTGGCTCTCTGCCAATTTACCGATTTAATTCCAGGCATTTGAAAAAAATGTTTTTCTACTTGTCCAGTTCACTGCAGTTAAGCTACACTCAAAAGCCTGGTGACAAATTATTTTTCTTTCCTTTCCTTTTTTTTTTTTTTGTAAATTAAACTCTGAAAATAAAGTCCTTGTGGCATCTTATATCATCAACTATCTTAAGTGTGGGCAACATTTTTAATACCTGCAACTGGTACTTAAGGGATCCATCCAGGAAGGTGTCAGAGATATTAGGAAGGGGGCTTCAAAACCAGGAAGAGTATGCATGTCAGAGCATACAGAGAACACTCTCTTGCAAAGGATCACTAAAGAGTCAGAGAAAGGTGACTTTCTGGGCTCCAGTTCTCACCCAGTCTTTGAGTCTGTGGTGGGAGGCCAAAGCAAAGTGGGCGGGGTTAGGACAAAAATTGAATGGGGGCATGCTATTAGTTCAATATAGTTGACACTACTATTCTGCAGTCAAGTGTTGCATAATCTTCTTTTGTAAGCCTAAATGTTAGATTTAGATAATTATTTATGTCCTTTCATTTCTTTTAATTTATATCCTTCTTTTTCTCTAAGAGTTCCATGAGGTTTATTTCCATATTGTTGCCAAAATAAATTGCCAGCAATTGACCTGCACTATAAATACAGTTTATTTACTTTACTGCCTTATAAACATATAGCTTTTCCAAATTAGTTCTGCCAATTTATATTTAGGAATTATATTCTGCAATGGGATTGTCTCTGGCAATCTTCGGCTTCCAATTAAAATAATTCTGAAAAACAACTGTCTGGATGTAACATCACTGTATAATAGTCCTCAACGTATGACAACAATTGAGCCCAACATTTCTATTGCTAAGCAGGACAGTTGTTAAGTGAGTTTTGTCCCATTTTATGACCTTTCTTGCCACAGTTGTTAAATGAATCATTGTGGTTGTTAAGTTAGTAACACTAACTTCCCTAACTTGCCAATTGACTTTGCTGGTCAAAAGGTCAGAAAAAGTGATCACATGACCCAGGGACACTGCAACCGCCATAAATACATGACAGTTGCCAAGCATCCAAATTTTGATCATGTGACCACAGGGATGCTACAATCGTCAGAAATGTGAAAAATAGTCATAAGTCACTTTTGTGCTGCTGTAACTTTAAGCGAATGGTTGTAAATCAGCAACAACCTGAAGTTTGATCTGCTTGTGTAACATGTTGGTTGGAAGAGAATCTGAATTCTTCTAACTGCCTTTCTGAAGATTCAAATGAAGAATCAGTTGACTGGCTCTTTCAAAGCCCTACATGGGAGGCAGGTAGAACTAGGCAAAAGCACAAGGGAGAAGACCTCAGAAAGCAGAGGAAGGTGACTATTTGCCCTAGTCCTATGTTTCTCACATATACTTGACGACAATCCCCATCATTAATATCGTCCGCCAGTTGCTAAAACACTTCTGTCTTTCATAAGGTATACAATTACAAAGTAGAGGAAAGAACTACTTAGATAATCTTTCTATTAACAAAGCTGCATCTCATTTAATCTCTCCTATTGGTAAAGTTATCCGTGGTGAAGTTAGGTAAGATTTATATATTTCATTCCTTATTTATCAGTGTGTTTAGCACAGGAAGTGATGATTACTTATTTATATGACACCCTCACCTCTGTAATTCTAGGCAGCTCACATATTAAGGTTAAGGCTTAGACAGCAAGTAAAGCAACATCGATAGCACACTAAGAACAAAAATACATACTGCTCCTTGGGGGAAATGATTGAAAAAAGCAAAAAAAAAGGACTAAAAGAGAGAATTTTAGGTACAGAATACCATCAGGGAGCAAATCATCACACCCAATCCTAGGAAAGAGCTATTAGAGGATGCTGTTACACAGCCACAGCTACTTCTCCCTCTCTCATCTGTTTCCAAAACAATGACCGGATCCTTGAAAAAATACTTCAAAATGTGTTGTTGGGGGAAAGTCCGCTTTGTTAGGTCATTGCTACTTTGCAGTAAGTAGCAAGTGGGATTTTGTTTTTTTCAAAACCTGGTTCTATAAGTCCAGTACTATGCTTTTCCTTATGGGAGATTTACAGATATTGACTGGTAGTAGGAAAAAATTGAAAGTCAGTGGGGTGTGGTAGGCAAGGTGCAATGCTATAACCCAGTGGTTCCCAAGCTTTCCAGCTCTGTGGACCAGTGGCAATGGCAGTGGCAGGGGATGGTTTTGTATGTGTGCCTGCTGTTTTCTCAAATGGAGCTTTGCACACTCATGTGCTCACCCGCCGCTTGTGTGCTTTGGTTCCCAACAGGCCGCAGTCCGTTTCCAGGCTGCAGACCAAGGCTTGGGGACCTCTACTTTAACAGGAATATCTAATTTTTAGACCTTATTTATTCATTCATTTATTTACCTAATTTATATAACTACCCATTTCATAACAAGTGACTCTAGATGGTGTACAACAACAATAACAATAATCTTTGGCCGAGAAAGAGTGGCTTTGAGCCATGCTTTGGGCAATTCTAAATGACACCCTAACCTTCTTGTTTTCCATGATGCTCCCAATGGTTTCTAAAGCAAACTTTACAAAGTCCAGGTTACAATGGTTTAGCTTTCGGGTTTGATTGCTACTCCCTCCAGAGTATGGCTATTGAAGGCCGTAACTAGTCATTCCCTTGCATCCTACCCTTCCCTACCATACACAAAACATAAGTCTTGCTGACTGGACTTGGTGTGGACAGGTCTACCAGTGTCTATCTTTTTCTTTTATGGATTGATCCCTCTTCATTAGTCCCCATTGTTTTTCCAAATATTTTTACACCTTGGAACCCACTCTG